AAAGAAAGAAATTTTTTTCTTCATGCATCGTAGTGCAACAACATTAATGTTATATATATATATATATATGTATATATTGTACCGTACGATAATTAAAAAAAGATAGAACGCGGCACTTTCGCTCTATGCGATGACGCGTCTCGGATTATCTTTAGAAATTTCGTTGCTTTTTCGTACGGAGCACAACATCGAAATAACAAAGAGGTAATCTCGCCTTCGAATCTCGAAGTAACGATCATAAATATGTACAATGTATATGTATAATTGTTGTATGCATGTATATATAATACTTTATTATGCAGGGCGTATCTGAAATGATGCACTAAACTTTAGGAGCGTATTCTAGAGGTCAAAATAAAATTTTTTTTCTTATGAACATGGGTCCACAAATGAACCCCTCTTCGAGCTAAAATTCGAAAATGTGTGAAATTGACCAAACACCCGCAACGCAAATTTATTTATCTCTCAAGAGAGGGTGATAGGTAACGTCGAAACCTTTTTTTTTTTCTGAAATACAGCCAATTTTTAATTTTTTTCTCAAACTTTAAGGGCCTCTAGCTCGGAGGATGGTTCATTTCCGGACCCACACTGAGAAAAAATCTGGTTGCATTAATTAGAATTCTGGTAGATTCAACCAGTATGTCTGTTGGAAAATGGACGAACCAGAATTCTTGTAGAAATTACCAGATGAATCTGATTCATTTCTTCCTGTTAAATTTACCAAATTTTCTGATTAATAATACTCAACTCATCAGCACCGAGTCGTCTAAAATTTTTTCCATCTAATTTCAAAAGTCTATTTAATATTCTGAATTCCAACAAAATTTATGCATAAATTTAATCCAGATTATTGAATAAATTATTATAAATTCAGTTTGTTAGAAATTAAACTGATAAACAGTGATGCAAGAAAAGGATGCAGCTCAAACACACACAATCAACTAGCATCCTTTTCTGACATTACTGCTCGAGAAAAAAAATATATTTTGGATTTAATGTTAATACTAATTCTTTATATACATTTCATGGCAAATATTGAATACGAGTTAAGTTAAGAAGCAAGCAAAGAAATTAATGTAACAAGAAATTTTATAGATCCAATCAGAAAATATTAATCAAATCCTTATAATAAAATCTATTAAACGTTCTAATTATAAAAAATCGAGATCATCTTATCATAATAATTAAAAATTCTTGTTTGATTTAACCAAAATGCCTTCAATCATACACGTCTTGTTAATACACACTGAGAAAAAAATCTGGTTGCATTAATTAGAATTCTGGTAGATTCAACCAGTATGTCTGTTGGAAAATGGACGAATCAGAATTCTTGTAGGAATTACCAGATGAATCTGATTAATTTTTTCCTGTTAAATTTATCAAATTTTCTGGTTAATAATACTAAACTCACCAGTATCAAGTCGTCTCAAATTTTTTCCATCTAATCTTAAAAGTCTGTTTAATATTTTGAATTCCAACAAAATTATTGCATAAATTTAATCCAAATTATTGAATAAATTATTTTAAATTTAGTTTGTTAGAAATTAAACTGTTAAACAGCGATGCAAGAAGAGGATGCAGCTCAAACACATACAATCAGAGAGCCAACGTCCTCTTTCTGGCACTACTGCTCGTAAGAGAAAAAAACATATTTTGGATTTAATGTTAATACTAGTTCTTTATATACATTTCATGGCAAATATTGAATACGAGTTAAGAAGCAAGCAAAGAAATTAATGCAAGAAATTTTATAGATCCAATCAGAAAATACTAATCAAATCCTTATAGTAAAATCTATGAAACGTTTTAGTTATAAAGAATCGAGTGAAGAAAGATTTATACTTATAAAGAATCTTATCATGATAACTAGAAATTCTTGTTTGATTTAACCAAAATGCCTTCAATCATATACGTCTTGGTACAATCAAACGATTTTTCTCAGTGCATGTTCATAAAAAAAGTTTTATTTTGACCTTTAGAATACGCCCCTAAAGTTTAGTGCATCATTTCAGATACACCCTGTATATAAAACGAACAACGCTAGGCTATACGAAACAAACTCAAAGATGCTTTCTTTTGAGCGCACTTCGAGTAAAATGCAGAATTAAAACGAAATCGAAACCGACGCCAGAATCCAGCAAAAATTAAAAGTCATACCTTTTAGAAAAGTTTTAATGAGGAAACAGCATATAACAAGCGAGTCATGTTTATTTTTATTTACTAACGCAACGATCGATATGAGATTTTATAAAAATACACGTTAAGCCTCAACGTTGATCAACAGCCGGATTATGCTATAAAAATTATTCAATGTCGCGCGCAATATTAGGTTTCGATTTAGTTTCAAACCGCGACGTGTGTTTTAGACAAAGCATAGACGATAAGCGCTGCGACTTTCGCAGATTAATTTCTCACTATTGGAAGGTGAGATTCGTTTCCGATCGGAAGCCTCGACGGTTTCGAGTCGCTTAATACATATTATAATTTAATTTCGCCGGGAAGGAATGCTTCCCGACCGATTGTCACGAAGAGAAGTTATATAAAGCACTTGGACAGTCACAAAGTTCGCGAAGAAGTCACGAGATTATACGCTCTGCGGCTTTTGTATTGAGATGGCGACTCTGCGCACGTACAAGGCACTGCAAAGCAACGTAATTACATTGTTCGAAAATCAATGAATGGTTTATCGTGTTAAATTAAATAGTCAATTAAATTATTAAAAGATATAATATTATAAAGATATGGCACAATAGTCAAAAATTTTTTTTACGTTCAACAAATTTTGTTTTTTTACACATGCATATATTTTTTTAATTGAAAATTCTTAAAATTCTTAAAAATTATAGTGAATTTTTACCCAAGATAAATTTACATGAAAAAATTAACCGGAAAAAATTCCGTTATTTGATTAAGATTCGAGGAAATTATTATTATATTTCAGTTTTACATTAATTTCAAAAATACGATCGTTTAATAGCGTTTCATTCAAATTTACATGAAAAAATTAACCGGAAAAAATTCCGTTATTTGATTAAGATTCGAGGAAATTATTATCATATTTCAGTTTTACATTAATTTCAAAAATACGATCGTTTAATAGCGTTTCATCTGTGCTTGAAATGCGATATAATCGCACAGTTGAAACATCCAGCTTGCACAAAGCGCACCCCTCGAATCATGCCGCGCAGAACATACAGTTGAATAGCTCGATCGTCCTCACAATCGTCGCAAAGTCGCGATCCGGAATTATTGATTGACAATGAGACCCCTCCCAGTTATCGCTTATCAATATGATGCAGCGAAATTTGTCGAAGGATATTGACACGACTCGTTGAATAATACTTTAACGAGTTACCGTAACTTGAAGTATCGATGGAAAGCAATTCAGCGCGGGCATGCGATGCTGTTCTTGTTCGATAGAGACCAAAGCACAAGTTTGTTATATCGAGATATTTTAAATTGAGAAAGCGCACTCGGAATTTTAACGAGTACACCTTTCTTCAATTTTCCCATACAATATTACTCTTAATCAATATTATTCTTTCAAGAAATAGACTAGATTGGTAGCAAAGACGTACATTTCGTTCATCGAAATGTTCTCGTTGACGCCGATATTATTTATTCACATTCTTTACGAAACGTAATTATTATTATACTATTACGTACACATATACCATTTTATTAACATACTTTTTGTCGATCCAATGGACCCTCGTTTTGATTATCTTTCCAATAACGTACTGAGAAAAAAATCTGGTTGCATTAATTAGAATTCTGGTAGATTCAACCAGTATGTCTGTTGGAAAATGGACGAACCAGAATTCTTGTAGGAATTACCAGATGAATCTGATTAATTTTTTCCTGTTAAATTTATCAAATTTTCTGGTTAATAATATTAAACTCGCCAACATCAAATCGTCTAAAATTTTTTCCATGTAATCTCAAAAATCTGTATAATATTCTGAATTCCAACAAGAATTGGATAAATTCAATATTGGATAAATAATTGGAATATTGGATAAATCCAGATTATTGAATAAATTATTTTACATTCAGTTTGTTAGAAATTAAACCGATAAACAGTGATGCAAGAAGAGGATGCAGCTCAAACACACACAATCAGAGAGCTAGCGTCTTTTTTCTGGCACTACTGCTCGTAAGAGAAAAAAAATATACTTTGGATTTAATGTTAATACTAGTTCTTTATAAACATTTCATGGCAAATATTGAATATGAGTTAAGTTAAGAAGCAAGCAAAGAAATTAATGTAACAAGAAATTTGATAAATCCAACCAGAAAATACTAATCAAATCCTCATAGTAAAATCTACTAAACGTTCTAGTTATAAAAAATCGAGTCTTATCATGATAATTAGAAATTCTTGTTTGATCAAAATGCCTTCAGTCATATACGTCATAGTCTTGTTGGTACAATCAAACGATTTTTCTCAGTGTACAATTTACTTGATTCTTCGTGTAAATAATATTTTGTGTAAAAATTCTGTTGTAATTAAATTGATATAATATTTGCTTTTTATAAGAAAATACTTGAAAATAGAAAATTAATAAAAATAATAGAAAATAATAGAAATAAAATTTGAAGTGTTTTATTACATGTAAATATTAAATTTAATTATAACAGAATTATTAAAATTTGTAGATAGAATTATATTCATGAAAAAAAAACGACAAATGCATATTAAGAAGTAAAATATTTTAAAAACAATACATTTCTGGTAATTTTGTTAAGAGAAAAGGATGCTCATTTTTAACAAGAAATATGATAGTCTGCAATTCTTTATATAAATTTCATAGCAAATATTAAATACGAGTTAAATTAAGAAGCAAGCAACGAAATTAATGTAACAAGAAATTTTATAGATCCAACCAGAAAATACTAACCAAATCCTTATAGTAAAATCTATTAAACGTTCTAGTTATAAAAAATCGAGTTTCATCATGATAACTAGAAATTCTTGTTTGATTTATCTAAAATGCCTCAATCATATACGTCTTGTTAATACAATCAAACGATTTTTCTCAGCGTACGTACACCACATATACCATTTTATTAACATACTTTTTGTTGATCCAATGGACCCTCGTTATCTTCCCAATGACGCTATTTTCATTACCATTCTCGCGTTCCTCCACAGCGTCGTCTTCATTGCTGAAACCTCGTATTAGACATATGTAATACACACACTGGTTATATAAAGAAAACGTAAGACGTTGTATAAAATCTTTTTACACCCAGACTAGTCGCGTCTAGGGTGAGGGTGATATCGACTGCCACGCAGTCGTATCATCTGTTCCATTTGTCTCCCGTCCACGCGTCAATCTCGTCATCGGAGAATTGGCGAACGTTTATCCCAAACGTGGACCGTCTCATGTAGAGCCTGCGACCCTTCATAATCCTTTTCTCTCGCGCTCATACGAGTCGCGATTCAAATCTCCCCTCAGGCTTCATCAAACGTTACCGCTAAAAGCGTCGCTGACACCCAGACGATTATTATCCTGCACCGATCCGGGATAACGACCAGGCGCCAGCAACCATCCTCACGTCTTGGCGAACTTGTAGACGACACCGAACACCAGCACGCTCACCAGCATCAGCACCATCGCGGTCACCACCTTGGCGAAGGCGTTCAGTCCACTCTCGGTGGGTTGTTGCGATCTTCCACTTGGCATGCTTTGCTTGGCGGCGAGGCCGCGGGCCAGAGCGGGAAAAGCCAAGCTCTGGGTGAAGGTCAGCTTGTGGAGAGACTCTGATAGGGAGTACGGACCTACGGATCCGCGGGCCGCGGCCCTCAACAAGGCGTATTCCAGATCCAGAGCGTCGAACATGCTGTATCTGCAAAAGTGTTTGTAGGTAATTAATATTATTAATATAATGAATATTATGAATATAATGAATATTATGAATATAATTAATATAATTAATATTTCTTTTTCAATATTTTATATTATAATATTAATTATTTAATTATTATATGACGCAAGCTGGTTTATATATTTCGTTGACGCAGTATTTTTATTCGACATCGCTTCCTTTTTCTATCCGAGAAAGTATTTTACACGCGTCTTTGTAAATATTACTATAATTGATTTCCATTATCTGTTCCCATTAATTCACTCAACTCTAATCGATTTTTATATTACATAAGACAATAGGTTTTTTTTTAAATGCTTTCGCGACTTTAGAAGTGAGTGCGATAATTCTGAATTTTCGCTTCGATCAAAACACGAATCCCTATCAAAGTGATCCAATGTCTCGGCCTCGCGCGAAATCCTGCGTGTTGCTCGCGAGATCGTGTAGAACAAAAAAAAAGCGAAATTGGAACACGATCGATCTCGAGTGCAAAAAAAAAAAGGAAAAAAGCGATTCTCTCTTGAAGCTCTTATAGAAAGAAGCACTCGATATTTGTGTCGAAGGAACCCGTACGAATGTGAATACAATTCCGTCGATATACAGGATGTCTCATTTTAATTTTAATGGAATTGTTAATTGCAAATTACACATTTTTTCTTAAAAACAACTGTATGTTTTCTTTACACCAATTGATTTCTCTCATTATTTTGTACATAAAAGTATTAAGGTAAGATAATCGAAAAATGAATATTTTACAAGATATTTTATGGTTTATATAAAATTAAGAAATGATTTCAAGCCTCATAACTCGAAAAGTACTTGATGAAAAAATGTTTATTTATAGTGTTTTGGAAAGCTCTCGAGATAAGCTACAAGAATATGCAAAAATATATAGGGTGTTCCATTTAAGAAATTCAAAATGACTTTCACGTAATCTTCATGTGACTCTTTAAGGTCAAACTAATGACACCATCTTATGTCTCCCTAGAAACCATAAAACTTTTGTCTGAAACATTTTTTCGATTTTTCATTATTTTCCGAAATATTTGCCTGGGGAAATTAAAATGAGACACCCTGTATCTCTTGGACGTACATATGAAACGCTGGCGCTGATACACGTCAATGACGTATGTACGTCCCCGTGTACGTATTAACGTACATACATTATGTCAAGGTCGTTCCTTGACACGAGCCAAGACCGAGTCCAAGGCTTGGCGCGCGATAGATTATTTCTGACGTCCAGATCTCTAGGTCCTTGCTAGAGCGCACATGCGGCCAAGGATAAGGTCGTTTCTACGCGAGTAAATATTTGCGTCGATCCTTTGAGCACAAGAGATAAAAAAAGATAAGACGAGTTTTTTTTTACGCTGATGCTTTCACGTCAAACTTGTCGCGACTATTTCGAAACTTTATCTACGATGGCAATGTCTATTGTGTGCCTCTCGATATTACTATAACTCTGCCCATTTGCCATAGTTCGGTTGAGATATCATGTGTCCCTCATTTTCTACAAGAGCAAAACAATTTTACGATATTGATCTACTTCTTATTTTTATTAACAACCTACGCGTGTGTCATTCACTCGTATGACTCAGTTATTTTATTATTTTAGTTAAAGAAGTTGTTATTATTATTGTTTACATATATATATAAACGTTAGAAATTTATTACAACAAATTTAAAATAAAAAACATTTTTTAAATATTTTATTAAAATATATATAAGAACCAAAAAAATTATTCTTTACTCAAAATTCTTTTCAAGTTTTTGTCTTTAAGCTTTCCATAATATCAATTATTCAAATGGCAATTTAATTTTTGAAAAATATTATTTTTTAAATGCTGTTTGAGTAAAATCAGAATGTTCGATCACATCAAACAAATAATCGAATAAAGTTACTATTAACTTCAAGTGGTCAAATTATAATTACATGATCATCATTGATACGAAATAATGCACAACCTACATCGAGACAATCAATCGGTACCGTAAAAGAAAAAGGCAATGAATTCGATATTTTGGATAAATCAATTTTACGTATTCTTGCAAGAGCAAATATATTATTTAAAAAAAAACTATTTTTTTTAATTAATGAAAAGGAAAATGAATTACCTGCTGCTGCGTCTCCTGTCCTGCGAGTGCATTGACACGATCGCCGAGCTCGGCATTGATCGCAGACTGCTGGTGGTCGAGCTGGAGGGACTGGGTGGCGCGGGTCGATCCTCGTGATCCTCGTCCACGGACGTCCTGTCCGGCGACGGTGGACTCTTCAATCCTCCCGCGTTATGGTGATTGTGATGAAGATAGGGCAGCTGCAGCCGAGCGTGGTCCGGATGTAGCAAACTGGCGCGACGCGACTGCTGCGGCGTCATCGCCGGGCTGTTGCAGGCGACACCGCAGGGTGATGGCGATGCCTTTAATTAACAAATATTAATAGATATTTTATATATAAATTTTAATGAGTTAATTAACTTGTTAATTAACTTGTTAATGTTTTTTAGAGAAACTCATTTCAGTAAAAGCGTAATCAATTTTAGAAAGGATCTTTAGGGGATGCCGGAGTCCGATAAAATGTCATATTTCATTTTTGTCCGAAATCATTTTCTTAATTGCACAGAATAATAAATGCTCCTTCACGATTAAAGTAGATGCAGAAACAAAATGGGAACCTGGTTTTATGTTAAAAATTAAGAAAAAATTGAAAAACTACAGTTTTTCATCGGCTTCTGGGGTCAAATCGTAACAATATTTTTTTGCTTTGTATGTACAAAATAAGAATAAGTTCTCGATAGAGATTGTATAAAGAAATATAAATGAATTTTTAGAAATCAGTTTAGAAGATTTAGGTAAATAAATCGAAATCTTTTTCATTAGGCTTCTAAACTTATTTCTAAAAATTCATTTATATTCCTTCATACAATCTTTAGCGGAAACCTATTGTATTTTGTGCATATAAACTGCAAAACTTTTATATTAAGGATGTATTGAAGATATATTACAATCAATGAGATCGCCGTGAATTTTTAATTTAATATTCTTAATAACATTCTAAATCGTCATGAATTATTTCAAATTTTTTTTACTTGCTCCTTTAAAAGTTATTAATTTTTGAATTTTGCGATTTTAACATAGGATCTTATGTAAACGTTTAAGAGACAGGTAATAAATTATTCGCAAACTATAAAAAAACAATGATAAAAATTTCATTTTGTAATATTATATTCTTCATACATGTAAAAATGTTCCCACAAAGTTTTGAAACGATTTACTTGCTCGTTTTGAAATTATTATTAAAAAATAATCGGTTTGACTCAATATTGATGGTAAAATGTGGCAACATTTTCTTGGAAATTAAAACCTATTTATATTAAAGAATACTTTGAAGTATGATTTCGTGATTTTAAAAAAATTTTTGATTAATTAGAATTCGTATTCTGCCCAACTTTAATTTTTTGGTACTTTGGATTAAGTACTTTGGATAACTTTTGAGACAGACGGGTCCGTCCAATACATTCTTAAGCAAATACTGTTATGACCTTTTTACGATTTTTCAATTTTTAAAAATTTTTAATATAAAATCCGAAGGTTTCCACTTTATTTCTGTACTTAAATCGTGGAGGAGCATTTATTATTTTGTGCAACTAATAAAAAGATTTCGGACAAAAATGAAATATAACATTTTTTCGATAAAACAAGAGTCTGGTATCCCCTTAAATACTCTTGCATTCTTCGATAAAAATTCAATGACTCTTATATGACGTTAAAAGACACCAGCGTTGTTCGTCTGATCAATTAAAAATTATTCAGAGAAAATTAATTTTATTTATATCTCCCTCTTGTTCTCTTCTTGTATATAAAAGTTGCACCTGAATAGATTCGATGCCGCTGTCGTTGACGTTTTCCTGCACGTCTGGGAACACAAAAGCTGGGGCCTGTCCATCGGCCTCGGCTTTGGGCGAGTCGCTGGGCCATATTTGAAGAAGGGGAAGCCCACCGCGCGTCTCGTTGCAGATTTCGGCAACGACGACGTTGCTTGACGATCCCCCGGTATTGAGACACAAACCCAGCTCTCTCAGTGGCTTCTGCTAAACGACGTTTAATTCTTAATTCCCTGAGATATATTAAGTTCATGATTAATCTCTCTCTCTTACGATGGAAATTTAATCTTTTCTGCTCGCTGTTCGTATAAATTCAGATTTGTTCGAAAGTTTTATATTGAAATGTAATGCATTCCTGGAGAATAAAGTTGAATACAAATCTAGATGAAAGGAGATTTAAATTTTCTCCTGCTCGCACATGCACTTGAAACTGCATTTTCATTGAATTATTGCGAAACTCGTATCGTGCGATACGAGTAAAAAAACTCCTTGCAACTTTCAGTTACTCGTTAACTTTCGATAACAAATAATGTTGCCGCTAGAAACTTGATAATATCCCCGCGGCACGAGACAAACATTTTCTGCGTTAGCGACATGTAAAAGATCCTTCACGGCCGGATATTATCACATGAAATATTAAAAATAAAATATTTTTAGTCACGGTCACGTTTCATATGTAGATTAATCGATGAGATACTCGGCTGTTTCATTGAGCGAAACTTTATTTTCAACGTTGAAAGATAATAAGAGGAGATCCCCTGTAAAACTTTTTTCATTTAAAGCTTAAAACGGAGATAAATATTTTTTCCCACGGATTTTTGGCAATAACACATCGGATCTTACGTAAACGGAGCACAGATTTTATAATTGCTCATATGAAGCAGCGATAAATCAGAATTTCCGCGTTTCTAACAAGTTTGTCACGAAATATCGTGTTCGCGTTTATTTATCGATCACAAATTTGCAATACCATAAAATGTACTTTTGACGTCATATCGGTAACTGTACATAACTAATATATAATTACAGCTGAGATCTCAGTAAACTTGGAAGAATCTCGTAATTGCTTAGAAAATTGAGAGATCGTGAATGGATTAGCGTTGTTCGTCTGATCAATTAAAAATTATTCAGAGAAAATTAATTTTATTTATATCTCCTCTTGTTCTCTTCTTGTATATAAAAGTTGCACCTGAATAGATTCGATGCCGCTGTCGTTGACGTTTTCCTGCACGTCTGGGAACACAAAAGCTGGGGCCTGTCCATCGGGCCTCGGCTTTGGCGAGTCGCTGGGCCATATTTGAAGAAGGGGAAGCCCACCGCGCGTCTCGTTGCAGATTTCGGCAACGACGACGTTGCTTGACGATCCCCGTATTAGACACAAACCAGCTTTCAGTGGCTTCTGCTAACGACGTTTAATTCTTAATTCCCTGAGATATATTAAGTTCATGATTAATCTCTCTCTCTTACGATGGAAATTTAATCTTTTCTGCTCGCTGTTCGTATAAATTCAGATTTGTTCGAAAGTTTTATATTGAAATGTAATGCATTCCTGGAGAATAAAGTTGAATACAAATCTAGATGAAAGGAGATTTAAATTTTCTCCTGCTCGCACATGCACTTGAAACTGCATTTTCATTGAATTATTGCGAAACTCGTATCGTGCGATACGAGTAAAAAAACTCCTTGCAACTTTCAGTTACTCGTTAACTTTCGATAACAAATAATGTTGCCGCTAGAAACTTGATAATATCCCCGCGGCACGAGACAAACATTTTCTGCGTTAGCGACATGTAAAAGATCCTTCACGGCCGGATATTATCACATGAAATATTAAAAATAAAATATTTTAGTCACGGTCACGTTTCATATGTAGATTAATCGATGAGATACTCGGCTGTTTCATTGAGCGAAACTTTATTTTCAACGTTGAAAGATAATAAGAGAGATCCCCTGTAAAACTTTTTTCATTTAAAGCTTAAAACGGAGATAAATATTTTTTCCCACGGATTTTTGGCAATAACACATCGGATCTTACGTAAACGGAGCACAGATTTTATAATTGCTCATATGAAGCAGCGATAAATCAGAATTTCCGCGTTTCTAACAAGTTTGTCACGAAATATCGTGTTCGCGTTTATTTATCGATCACAAATTTGCAATACCATAAAATGTACTTTTGACGTCATATCGGTAACTGTACATAACTAATATATAATTACAGCTGAGATCTCAGTAAACTTGGAAGAATCTCGTAATTGCTTAGAAAATTGAGAGATCGTGAATGGATTAGGTTGTTGAGTTACTAAATAAAAACTTTGTAATGTATCGCACGGCCATGAACTATTCATAAATAAAGCACTAATTTTTTTATGATATTATGGTGCATGAATCTTGGGACTAGAATAACTAATGTGTCACACTAATGTGCGCGCGATTTGCCTTTAGAAGAGAGAAAATGTCACACACTCGCTTAAATCAAATAATATTCCAGTCACTTCTAATATATAATCTGATGTCAATTATACAGGGTGAGTCATTTTAATCAATACACTCGAATATCTCGAAAACAGCACTCTTCAGAAAGAAATGTTTCAAACAAAAATTGTAGGGTGTGAAGGGGGACATAAGATGGTAGCATTGGTTTGACCTTGGAAAGTCATTTGAAGGTCACATAAAAGTCACCTTCAATTTCTTAAATTGAACCCACTATTTTTCATTACATATTCTTGTAGCTTATCTCGAGAGCTTTCCAAAACACTACAGACAAATGTTTTTTCATTAAGTACTTTTTGAGTTATAAGGCTTCAAAGTTTGCAGTAGCTTCGATATAAAATGCAAAATATCTCGTAAAATATTTAGTTTTCAGTAGTCTTACCCTAATACTTTTATGCACAGGATAATGAGACAAAACTATTGGTGCAAAGAAAACGTATGATTGTTTATAACAAAAAGTGCATTGCAAATTACACATTTTTTATTATAAACAATCATACGTTTTCTTTGCACCAATAGTTTTGTCTCATTATCCTGTGCATAAAAGTATTAGGGTAAGACTACCGAAAACTAAATATTTTACGAGATATTTTGCATTTTATATCGAAGTACTGCAAACTTTGAAGCCTTATAACTCAAAAAGTACTTAATGAAAAAACATTTGTCTGTAGTGTTTTGGAAAGCTCTCGAGATAAGCTACAAGAATATGTAATGAAAAATAGTGGGTTCAATTTAAGAAATTAAAGGTGACTTTTATGTGACCTTCAAATGACTTTCCAAGGTCAAACCAATGCTACCATCTTATGTCCCCCTCACACCCTACAATTTTTGTTTGAAACATTTCTTTCTGAAGAGTGCTGTTTTCGAGATATTAGAATGTATTGATTAAAATGACTCACCCTGTATATCACAATTTAATTCTATATTATATTTTATGTCGAATATCTATAAATTAACAATAAAATTAATCTTTTAAATATCCAAAAAGTCATTTTTTCTTATAAATATTCGCATCTCATGAAAATGTAAGAATATAACGAATAATCTGTTTTAAAAATATAAATAATTATTATATAAATTATAAAACAATTTTTATCTGATAATTATTTTAGTTATAAAAATTTAATAAGCCACTAAACTTTTTTTTACTTTTTTTAAATTCTTTCTCTTCTTTTTTTAATTCTTGTTTGATTTAACCAAAATGTCTTCGTTCATATACGTCTTGTTAATACAATCAAACGAAATTGAGAGATCGTGAATGGATTAGGTTGTTGAGTTACTAAATAAAAACTTTGTAATGTATCGCACGGCCATGAACTATTCATAAATAAAGCACTAATTTTTTTATGATATTATGGTGCATGAATCTTGGGACTAGAATAACTAATGTGTCACACTAATGTGCGCGCGATTTGCCTTTAGAAGAGAGAAAATGTCACACACTCGCTTAAATCAAATAATATTCCAGTCACTTCTAATATATAATCTGATGTCAATTATATATCACAATTTAATTGTATATTATATTTTATGTCGAATATCTATAAATTAACAATAAAATTAATCTTTTAAATATCCAAAAAGTCATTTTTTCTTATAAATATTCGCATCTCATGAAAATGTAAGAATATAACGAATAATCTGTTCTAAAAATATAAATAATTATTACATAAATTATAAAACAATTTTTATCTGATAATTATTTTAGTTATAAAAACTTAATAAGCCACTAAACTTTTTTTTAGTTCTTTTTAATTCTTTCTCTTCTTTTTTTTTAATTCTTGTTTGATTTAACCAAAATGTCTTCGATCATATACGTTTTGTTAATAGAATCAAACGATTTTTCTCAGTGTAAAATTAAAGATACTTTCTCACTTGTTTCATCCCTCAACAATTTTCTACATTAAAAATTATTAAGCCATCAAAAAGTTTGGCAAAATAAAATGTAATCTGTCAACCATTTCTTGGTTCATAATTTCTCAATGGATTATTATTCTTTGCCCTTGATCGTATCTCACCTTCGGCCTTTTCGCGCCGGAGCTTATTCGTCAAGGGCTCCCTATCCGTCGATCGAGCGATCTGATTTTATTAAACCTGCGATGGTGGACAAGCGTGGATAATAATAATACGTGGTTTAAAGTTCAAAATGCCGTCGTCGTCGTCGTCGTTGTTGTCGTGCGAGAATCGCAATCGCGCAGGAAGCCGCGCGTCCATCGACGAGACATAACCGGAGGGGGATAAATGGCTCGCTGGTTTCCGGTGCGGCGAGCTTGCAAAGGTCGCTCCGCTGTACAAAAAAGTGTCGGGAAAAGACGACAAGCCGCAGAAGCAACGCGAAACAGATCGATAAAGCGCGAGCGCGAGAAAGCGCGTTGTTAGAGAAAAAAAAACGCGTAATTCGTCACGAATTCGTTCCGGATTCGTATCTCTTTTTCTTTCTTTCTAATTTTATATGTCAGCAAATTTTTTGCCTGCGTATCAATTTTCTAAACGTCCGTAATGGTCGCTACTTGAACGGAGCTGTCGATATAAACAATTTCTGCGCTTTTAGCAACAGAATTTTATATCAAAGAATTTTTTAAATATATGCATAATTTAAATCTATCTGAAATTGATAAATATTTATGGTATATTACATATTTTTGTATTTACATTCGTCAACGCGTAACGATAGAATTTAAAATATCTCGTTCACGACACAAATTATTTCCAGTTTTTCGATAAAGCGAACTTATAAAATATGGACCGAAAGAGCCTAAGAAACAAATGGAGGGACATTTTAAAATATTCATTTGTTGCAAAACGATCATACGAGTAACGCTATATATAATTCACTTTCTGAATGGGTTTTTCGTCGAATAAAAAAAAATGATTCAATAAAGAATGAAAGTAGCACGAAGGGTTTAATCAAAGGAAAACACGAAACAGAAATCGATTGTGCGTGAGCAGGATATGTGTCGGCGATATAACTGGAAGGTCGTAGTTGAAATATCGAGAAATCAAAACGATAATTAGCTAAGATATAAAAGAAAGAAGCAACAGCTGCTGATTATAAATAAATATATTAAAAACGCTCGAGAGGGAAGATTTCTCCTCTCTGATTCTTATTCCATCACTGAGAAAAATTTGATTGTATTAACAAGACGATATATGATTGAAGACATTTTGGTTAAATCAAACGAGAATTTCTAGTTATCATGATAAGACTCGATTTTTTTATAACTATTTAGAACGTTTCATAGATTTTACTATAAGGATTTGGTATATAAGTATTTTCTGCTTGGATCTATCAAATTTCTTGTTACATTAATTTCTTTGCTTGGTTCTTAACTTAACTCGTATTCAATATTTGCCATAAAATTATATAAAGAACTAGTATTAACATTAAATTCAAAGTATATTTTTTTTCTCTTACGAGCAGTAATGCCAGAAAGAGGACGTTAGCTCTCTGATTGTGTGTGTTCAAGCTGCATCCTCTTCTTGCATCACTGTTTATCAGTTTAATTTCTAACAAACTGAATTTAAAATAATTTATTCAATAATCTGGATTGAATTTACGCAATAATCGTGTTGGAATTCAGAATATTAAACGGACTTTTGAGATTAGATGGAAAAAATTTTAGATGACTTGGTGCTGGCGAGTTTAGTATTATTAACCAGAAAATTTGATAAATTTAACAGGGAGAAATTAATCAGATTCATCTGGTAATTCCTACAAGAATTCTGGTTCGTCCATTTTTCAACAGACATACTGGTTGAATCTATCAGAATTCTAATTAATGCAACATTTTTTTCTCAGTGATCTCTCAATATCTGCGGCAAAATTTAACATTTTTTTTCTTCTTGGCTGAATAATTTCGATCACGCTAAGGGACACGCTGAGGGGAATATACAATGTCGCGATACGAAATCAGATCGATAATATAAAGACCCTTTTTTTTGGAGAGTACACATTTGTTTCTGCAATGACAAAAATTCACAGACACATCTTCTTCATCGATGGTGTGAACAGTCATCGAAGTCACCGCGCGGGAAAATGCATCGAAGCGAATTAAAAAGGGACTCGCTTCTCTCTTTGGAAACCTTCCGCCATACTTGCATGGCACTGGCTTTTTCTGAGGACCGTCATAATCCGTCACTCAAACGGACCAATACAAATACAAGAAACGCGATGCGAATAAAACGAGTTATTTTACGTATCATCGCGTTCAAGCTTCGAATATGTCGTAAAAGCTCTCGAAACGCGAGCCTGGCTGCGCTCCAAATTGATCAGCGGAAAATCCCGCAATAAAATTTAAAAATGTCGAGAAATAATAATGCGCAATATCTACCCGGGATATAGACTCGCGGAAAGCTTCCTTTCGTCTTTGCTTTGATCAATTTGGACGGGGAGTCGAGAAGTCTGCAGTGGAGAGAACGTTTCGTAAATCCCCTCGGAATATCCTGCGAGGTGAAGCGAAGAGTGAATTTTGACGTTTAGATAATATTTTCGCACGGTCGATCCTAAAAGCGTGAAAAGTCACCCACTGCTGTGCGTTTCGAGTCGAACAATCTTGCCAACGAAATTGAATGCAAATTGTATCGCGTGTCTGATCCGGAAGCTGCATCTCGCGAATCTCGCAATGCATTTTTCATGATTTAATCTACGAGCCGTGAAACGCACGACAGTAAAAAAAAAGTATTATTCCATCACGCTATTCCCGAGGCGATTAAAATCATTGCTCCGACCTTACTAATAATTTGCGACACCCTCGCAGAATTTATATGCTTGCAAGTAAGCGTTTATTTCATTCAAAGATATCGCGTGTATTTATCTCAACGTATTTATTTCGATTTTAGAAATTATTAATACTTCACTTTGTGATGACTATTCGATTAAATGTTTCACACACAGGAGAGATCTGTAAGATTTTAATATGAATCTTGATGTGATTTTTTTTTCTTTAAATTTAAGAAAATTTTTGTTTAGAAAATTTAAAGGATAATCTTTTTTTAGAAAATTTAAAGGATTATTAAAAATGAATTATGATGATGAAACTATCAACTAGAAAGGCTGCCGATAATTATTGGGATAGAGCACTGACTCGCATGATGGCGTAAAGAGACATGTTTGTTCGTGACCATGACTAAGATCTCGTCTTCCTGTTTAGCCTTGGCACGAGCCGGTCGATGAAGGCAAGGAAAAAAAACGGGGAGATCGTTTTCCTGGCACAATGCCTGCGTCAACTAAATGAAAAGACCTTTGTGCTTAGAATCGCATATTATAGTTTCGCATATTATAGTTTCGCATATTATAGTTTCGCATATTATATTTCGTATATTATAGTTTCCGAGACTTTATACATGCGTACACATTATATGGAAATGTTTCCCCCAAACAATAGAGGCTCGCGGCCATGCAAATAGTATTTGATAGATGAAGCGTCATTTATTGCGTTAGAGTTAATTCCGACTTGAACAGATATATTGACAGATATATTTGACAGATATATTTTATAAAATATTAACGAGCAATATAATTAATATTTTCCCGCTCGATAATAATTTTGTGATATTTTTATAATTTTACATGTAGCTGGTTTTTTATTAATTATAGAGACTTTATAAAGATAGTTAAATTATAAGAAAAGTCGATAGATAAAAAGTAATAAATAAAATATAGAAACATGATACAAAGAGGGTTTCTTGCGCGAAATAAACCCCCGACTGTCAACTTTTGGAATTTCTCGGTTGTTTTAGATCGGCAGGTCGCTCGTAAACTGAATCCAACAAGTTTTTATAGCGGCCATCCCTATGTAATTCAATCTACAAGGGAGTAAAATATATTTTGGAAAACATAGTAAAAGCGTGGTAAAAGTGGAAAGACGAAAAATATAACGAAGCAAATTTATTTGAGAGATACGTGCCATTCAAATGCGAAAAAGTGAAGCGATCGATAAAATATATAGTTAAGCGATTGATCGAGAAACGTGCTACGAAAACGTGTGTATCTAGAATATTCAATTTACTTTAATAATAACTATTGTTCATGTATCTTTTAAGCGACATCAACTATTTGCGATGCAGCCGCGATGAAGTACAAATTGCATAGAACGGGATTCCGACCCACCTGTATGCTTCCCGCACTCGTTGACTTTCGATGGACGCGATAAATTCTCAAGCATACGAGAAATAATCAATGTCTTTCCTTTTCATTTACGTATAACACTGAGAGCAATCTACGCACTCGTTCTTAAAAACATTATATCGCAATAACGAGATGATCACGGAATAATTTCACCACATATATCGCAAATCATCACACATAAGAAGTCAGAAATCACTCCCCTCGGTCGCTTACAACTATCGTGCCCATCGTACACTCTCATAAATCACGATCCCCCATAAATCATGATCGAATCGCAAGGAAAGGAGCTAAAGATCCCCGCGTTGTTCGAAAAGAAACGGAGAAAGATGAAGGAATAAACGAGCGCGACGCGATCGATCCTACCTGCATGCTTCTGATCACATGCCAGAAGATCCCGGCACGATCCTCCGAGGCGTCCGTTTATTTGGTCCAGGATTACGAATTAGACTCTCGGCGGCGATGGGAGCTCGGTTCTCCTCGGATTTTGAACTGCGACTGCGATCCGGCCGCGCGCGCGGCAGAACCGTGTGCTTCCCTCCGCGAGGATTGGCTCCCCGGATGGGGAAGGGATGAAGAGAGCCAGGTGGATAGCAAAGCGGGGGTTGTTTTTGCTCCGAGCCGGTCGAGGGTGAGAGCGACGGTGGTCCGTTTATCACCGCGCTTGGAGCGATGAGCCGTGTCTCGGCAGGTGGACACGAAGGGTAGGTATAGACCGATAGATCGAACGTTTTGGCTTTCTCTCTCTCTCCCGATCGGTTGAATCTTTTAACGAGAAATCTCTGGGGGATGATAAGGGGGACGCTCGCAAACCCGCATTTGCCATTTTGAGTGTTCATTTTATTTCGCCTGATGTGTAAATCGACGACTTTTCGCGCGTAAACCGTATTATTTTCCAAATGAATTTCCCTCTTTATATTTATATATATTATTTATATATATATATTTCCCTCTTTATATTTATGTGATAAACTGAACAAAAATATTTTAATAAAATATTACGTACACTGAAAAAAATCGTTTGATTGTACCAACAAGACGTATACGATTGAAGGCGTTTTGATTAAATCAAACGAGAATTTCTAGTTATCATGATAAGACTGAATTTTTTATAATTAGAACGTTTATTTCTTTGCTGCTTTAAGGAAATTTGAGGATGTAAGGATCTTTCAACTGTATGTGTGGCTTTGTTTGAAAAAAATTTTAATATAAATTTAATATAAATTGCAATATATTTTAATATAATTTATCAGTATTTATTTTTAATATAATTTATCAATATATTTTATATAATAATATATTGCAATTGTATACTGAGAAAAGTCGTTTGATTGTATCAACAAGACGTATATGATTGAAGACATTTTGGTTAAATCAAACAAGAATTTCAAGTTATCGCGATAAGACACGATTTTTTATATAACTAGATTTTTTATAACTAGAACGTTTAATAGATTTTACTATAAGGATTTGGTTAATATTTTCTGGTTGGATCTATAAAATTTCTTGTTACATTAATTTCTTTGCTTGCTTCTTAACTTCACTCGTATTCAATATTTGCCATGAAATGTATATAAAGAACTAGTATTAACATTAAATCCAAAGTATATTTTTTTTCTCTTACGAGCAGTAGTGCCAGAAAGAGGACGCTAGCTCTATGATTGTGTGTGTTCGAGCTGCATCCTGTTCTTGCATCACTGTTTATTAGTTTAATTTCTAACAATCTGAATTTAAAATAATTTATTCACTAATTTGGATTGAATTTATCCAATAATCTTGTTGGAATTCAGAATATTAAACAGACTTTTGAGATTAGATAGAAAAAATTTGAAACGACTTGATGTTGGCAAGTTTAGTATTATTAACCAGAAAATTTGGTAAATTTAACAGAAAGAAATTAATCAGATTCATCTGGTAATTCTTACAAGAATTCTGATTCGTCCATTTTTCAACAGACTGGTTGAATCTACCAGAATTCTAATTAATGCAACCAGTTTTTCTCACTGCGTAAACCGTATTATTTTTCAAATGATTTTCCCTCTTTATGTTTATGACGGGATAAACTAAAAAAAAAATATTTTAATCAAATATTACGTACGATCATAAATAAACGTACACGCTTCTCGTGCGCGTTGCTCGCTTCTCTCGCTCTTTCTGTCTCTCTTTTTTCTTTCTCTCTTGAATTATTTAAATTTTAAACGTCAAGTTCATTTTTCTCGAAGCTACGTAAAGCTGTTTATGTAAATATATTACCATGTTTTCAACTATATAATTGTGAATTTGATAAATATATTATTAAAGAGAAGAATTAAAATTTAATTAATAATTAATTAAACATATAATAATATAATTAATAAATAAATTAATAATATATTAAACATATAATAACTTTAGTTTTAAAGATAAATATCTCATTTTTTATAATGAGATATAAACTCTCAATAATTTTAGTTTCATCGGTTAATCTACTTTATTATCTTTTATAGCAGCCTATTTGATCGACTTGATTAATTAATCTACTGGTAACTACGTTTCAATTACATTTTGCCAATTAAACTAATTGCGTAACAGATAGGAATACGAATAATCCAACGAGTGCTGTATTTTGATATATCTATCAGGAACCGGAAATTAAATCGATTGAAATTCGTTGATATTGCCTTATCGTCACGAAATAAGCTTTATATGTACGAGCTTTTAAAGCTATATATACGAGCTTTTAAAAAGCGTACACATTTAGACGAGAAAAGTAAAGAGAGATTCGTTAAGTTCAAATTTAATAGGATTTTGAAGAAGAAGATGGCGAAAAAGACGATTGAGCTCGTGTTGTCGCTTCAGGAACGCGAATCCAGACTGCGAAAAATGTAATCCTCTCTGTCGAGCACATATTTCGTATAAAGAAAGAAAAAAAATGAAAAGAGTAGCTTATATTTCTGTCGACTAGAAAGATACACAAGTAGGATATGGATCAGATAGGATATGGATAAAAATCGGATAAAAATAAAGAGAGATACGAACGTCGTTGATACAGACGACAGGAGCACAAGAAATCGCGACAGGTGACAAAGAAAGTACTCGAGGAAGCTGTCAGATTAGCATCCGGAGGATAAAAACAAAATATCAAGATCCTTCAGAATTTGGGGCACATTTTGATTTGAAGATATTTCTTGATTCTCGTGTTGGCGAATTTCGTATCATAATGAATTGAATAGCAGCTGCACAAAAGACTGTTAAACGCTGTCCTATTTGCTTTAGCTGTCGCTCCTCCTACTCGTCTTGACAACCTGGTGAAATTAACATGGAAAAGCGCGGAAAACGTCTAGAAATGAGATACTCGGAAGAGATAATAGAATACTCTCTGCACACACATATAAATGTAAGAGGAAACCAAGAGGAAATGCGTTCTGTCTCCGGATAGACAGTAATTTATTATGCCACGTAGAAGAATCTCGACGCATATTGGATAAAAGTATAGAATAATGCATCCTTACACGAGAACGAAAGGCAACGGCCATTAATATTGCCGAGGGATGATGGAGTGCGAGGGAAGAACAGGGCTGGAGTGCAAACTTGAACTTTGCACTGAGAAAAAAATCTGGTTGCATTAATTAGAATTCTGGTAGATTCAACCAGTATGTCTGTTGGAAAATGGACGAACCAGAATTCTTGTAGGAATTATCAGATGAATCTGATAAAAATTTCTCCCTGTAAAATTTACCAAATTTTCTGGTTAATAATACTAAACTCGCCAACACCAAGTCGTCTCAAATTTTTTCCATCTAATCTCAAAAGTCTGTTTAATATTCTGAATTCCAACACGATTATTGCATAAATTCAATCCAGATTATTGAATAAATTATTTTAAATTTAGTTTGTTAGAAATTAAACTGATAAACAGTGATGCAAGAAGAGGATGCAACTCAAACACACACAATCAGAGAGTTAGCGTCTTCTTTCTAGCATTACTGCTCTTAAGAGAAAAAAAATATACTTTGGATTTAATGTTAATACTAGTTCTTTATATACATTTCATGGCAAATATTGAATACGAGTTAACTTAAGAAGCAAGCAAAGAAATTAATGTAACAAGAAATTTTATAGATCCAATCAGAAAATGCTAACCAAATCATTATAGTAAAATCTATTAAACATTCTAGTTATAAAAAATCGAGTCTTATCATGATAACTAGAAATTCTTGTTTGATTTGACCAAAATGCCTACAATCATATATGTCTTGTTGATACAATCAAATGATTTTTCTCAGTGCATAAATACATTTTTGTACACTGAGAAAAAATCTGATTGCATTAATTAGAATTCTGGTAGATCTTCAACCAGTGTCTGTTGGAAAATGGACGAACCAGAATTCTTGTAGGAATTACCAGATGAATCTGATAAAAATTTCTTCCTGTTAAATTTACCAAATTTTCTGGTTAATAATACTAAACTCGCCAGCACCAAGTCGTCTCAAATTTTTTCCATCTAATCTCAAAAGTCTGTTTAATATTCTAAATTCCAATACGATTATTGCATAAATTCAATTCAGATTATTGAATAAATTATTTTAAATTCAGATTGTTAGAAATTAAATGGATAAACAGTGATGCAAGAAGAGGATGCTGCTCAACACAATCAGAGAGCTAGCGTCCTTTTTCTGGCACTACTGCTCGTAAGAGAAAAAAAATATACTTTGGATTTAATGTTAATACTAGTTTTTTATATACATTTCATGGCAAATATTAAATACGAGTTAAATTAAAAAGCAAACAAAGAAATTAATGTAAGAAGAAATTTTATAGATCCAACCAGAAAATGCTAACCAAATCCTTATAGTAAAATCTATTAAACGTTCTAGTTATAAAAAATCGAATCTAATCATGATAACTAGAAATTCTTGTTTGATTTAATCAAAATGCCTTCAATCATATACGTTTTGTTAATACAATCAAACGATTTCACTTAGTGCGCCAAGCAGAAAAATCGGGGAAAATAGCGCGGAAAAGGATCACGAAAGAATAGAAATTTTCAAGAGATTTCAAAGAGATTCGCTGCGACGAGATTGGAATGTTTAACGATAATTGCTGGGATATCGAGAACGCAACGAGGCGGACGATGGGAGGAAAACGTGCTCGTTGACAGATGCCTCATTTGTCATATATAATATTCTTTTCTACAACGCGATACAAATGACAAGAAAAATTCGCGTCTGATATTAAAAGAACTGATGGACCAAACTGACGCGATTAAACAGCCCCGATATCGAATCGCAATTCGCTCAGCATCTCGACGCTCGATTTCTCAGTCCATCGACTTCAATAGGCGATACGATCCGCGAGGTCGCTAGACTATCACGATGCCAGGTGGTATCGGATCAGATGCACCTCGCAAGGTGGAGCGAGATAAAACGAGCGAGCGGGACGAGGACGCGACCACGCGATAGAGCAGCAGCGGGGAATAAAGGGAAGAGGAAGAAGGCGAGGACG